ATTTTTTTTTCGATCAATATTAAAATAAAATACTCGTTTCTGAATACCGAATTTGAGAACTTAGACAGACATATAAGTGGTGGTCAGGTTAGCCCGAGCGCTAGAAAGGAGGAGGCTCTGCAATTACATCATTACATGAACTCATCTGCAATTTTATTTTTATTTTATTTTGTTTATTGGAGAAAAAAACAGATCACAGGAGTATAACAAAACAAATATAAACAACAATACAGCATATTAAAGACAAAATACCTGTGTCCTCAAACATTTCTCACCAAGAAATATAACTAAGTAAAAATGAGAGGATGCTTGGGTACGTACCTCACTAATAAATAAATTTGAAAGGCGATGTGTAAACCTAATCTAGTATGTGAAGGGAGCGATGGCGAATGTGCAGAGAATATCCAATACTTAAAACAAACTAAACTAAATTCCCAGTCAATGTAAATGAAAAACAGGACTGCTAGGTGGTTTATTCTTTTTTCAATAATACGTCCCGCAACTTGCTGTGAAACGCGGCAGAGTTATGACGTAGAATATCAACCTGAGAAAATTCGTTATGAGTACGACATATTTTTCGTATTGGGGCGCGTAATCCCGCATTCGTGTATGATCGCGGTACATGAAATAGAGATTAATTACAATAGTGAAATAAGGTCAGGGCCTTAAAATATTTCCACCACAATCTAGTTGGCATCCAGTTTAAAATTGTAATCCAATGTAATGTAATGCTCTTAAATCAGCTCAACCAACCACTCAACGTGTGATGCCATGGAATTTAGAATGGTGCCCAGATACTGGTGCTATAGTATTCGATGGTGAAATTTTTGAACTGTTTTGTCACTTTGCTCATTTTCTTTTAACGACTGTTCTCAGAAGCAGTGGTGACAAGTTTCGCGAGTCGTCACTTGTCGAGACGGGGACATCCCGCTGGCCTGCAGCTGGTGGAGGTTCGAGACACCTCAGGCGTCTCTTTGACCTGCTGCCGGGTGGGAGTTCAAGACGCAAGTCTACTCATCACCACTGGCGTTTGTCGCCTTGGCGTTAGTCGCCTTTGACGTGTGTCGTCAGTTTGCGTTAGTCGCATTGGCGTTTGTCGCCTTGGCGTTAGTCGCCTTTGACGTGTGTCGTCAGTTTGCGTTAGTCGCATTGGCGTTTGTCGCCTTGGCGTTAGTCGCCTTTGACGTGTGTCGTCAGTTTGCGTTAGTCGCATTGGCGTTTGTCGCCTTGGCGTTAGTCGCCTTTGACGTGTGTCGTCAGTTGCGTTAGTCGCATAGGCGTTTGTCGCCTTGGCGTTAGTCGCCTTTGACGTGTGTCGTCAGGTGCGTTAGTCGCACGGGCGTTTGTCGCCTTGGCGTTAGTCGCCTTTGACGTGTGTCGTCAGGTGCGTTAGTCGCACGGGCGTTAGTCGCCCTTAACGTTTGTCCTCAGTTGCATCAGCCGCCATCAGCGTTGGTCGCCACTGACGGGAGTCGCCACTGGCGGGAGTCGCCACAGACGGGAGCCGCCAGTGATGGAAGTTGCCGATTGCGTGAGTCGCATTGGCATGAGCTGCACTTCTATGGTGTTGGTAGCCCTTCAAAGGCGTGAGTCACCCGACAATGGTAATGTACTGTGGGGATGTGAAATTGTTGGGATACCGTCGATTTCACACCTTTTTCTTTATTTTCACTTTATCTGTCTTGGATGCCGTTTAGCTTACATTACTTTGTTTATTTGAAAAACATTTGGACACTACACTCATGCAAACAATAATGTTTCCGATAGTAATGGTGATGTTATTTCAAAATTCAGGATGACAAGGTGCTTCGGCCGGATCGTCTATGCCAAACCTTGAAGACGAAGATCGGGAAGGTGGCGCAGTAGGCGAGGCTGCTACTGAACAACAGAGAAAATGTGGCCGAGGACGACCAGGAGTCAGGAGAGGCCGAGTTAGGAAACTCCTTGGTCAAGAAACAAAATAGAAGCCGAGTTAGGAACTCCTTGGAAAAGAAACAAAATAGAAGCAGTGCGCAAAAAGAAACATCGGCACTCTCTGGTGGTCCGTCATCGAGGCAACATCGCTCATGGGTTTTCGACTATTAATATTGGTTTAGCAATTAGTCTAAGGCTATTTTAAGGATATTACTCTGTAAGTACTTTAATTGTTGTTTAACTGGAGTTAGCAGGTTATCATTTCATTCCTTTATTTACCTTTTAAATTTGTTCATTTTAATTAATATCGCATAGTCAAATTGTCAAATGTCTTACTGTTATTTTATTTTTAAAAATCCGAACGAAGTTCCTTAATATATATTTAATATTGTTTACAAACATACGTCATTACTCCTTTAAGATATTCAGATACGATCTTTTCACTTATGTGTGTTACCAGTAAAAAAAAGAAACTGTTGAAGGAAAAATAAAAGGTCAACATTATTTCCTACATATTTATTCATCTGAAGTTTTAATTTTTATCTAAACTATTGTGTTATGGCTAATTTTTGTACAGTTTAATATCACAACGGCGAAAATAATAATATTTAAAGCTATTCTCGCGTAAATCTAAACTTTATGCTTAATTATTGCATTTTCTATATATTTATTTAGGTGATTAATGCTGAAACAGAATACATGGAATGAAACACAGAGTATTATTATAATTGACTGATCAATATACATACATAACAAAAAGAAGTTAAAAAAAATAACTCAATTCTGGCATTTTAAAATATGTTAAAATAAAGAATTTTACACATATATATTTAAGTAATATTATAAAATATAAGTAATGATAATAATATTCTTAAAATCATATTAATCAAAATACAAATCAATTATATTATGCCATTAAAAATATCTAGTTTTCAGACATATATGAACAAAAAATAATATTTAGCCGCAAAAAATATTTAAAACATAGTATATTAATTTTAAATTCCGAGATATGTTCAATTACAATTGATTTCTGTAGTATATTATATACAATTGAGATCACTGTATGTAGAAATGAACTGAGAATGTACTCCATAGAGGCAATCCTTATATTACGTCATACTAAATGGGGGGGGATTGGTTTTGTCATTCTAGTAATATCAGTTATTGCTTATGGTATTATAGTATATTGTATAACTTGAATGGAATAGGCAAAGTCAGTGAATCTGCCATAACAGTTGCAAATTTTGTTATCTATAAGAAATGCCAAGAAAATACGAGTTTTCTTCATATGACTGCAAGTATTCATTACCAATTGGTGCAAAAATCTCATTGCATAATCGGGAACTTTCCTTTCGCAGTCAAACTACAAAAAAGAGGGGGTTAAGGAAATGATTGTGGAGGGGGGAGATATCAGCAAAAATTGATAACGTAATATATGGATGGCCCCACAGTAAAATTAACTATCAATATTAATTATAAACGTCATGGCTTTTCAATCATGATGATCATGACTTATCATGATAATTTATATCAGCATTTTCCAAATGATAACATATAATAATATAAATGAACAATAATTACTGACATTTTTAATATTAATTAAAAATCTAACCTTTGTTCCGATGAGATTTTACTCTACATTTGTATTTCATTTAGACGCATAACTTTCAAAGATTATAATATCTAATAATATGTAATTTTACGTTTTATTAAACATATATTTGTTGTAGGACATACAAATGTATGGAAAATGCTGATTTCATACAATCTAATACATTAAACCGGCTAGCGTTAGACAAAACCACACGACTCTCAACATTGTGCGATCTACAAGCATATTACAATAAACTTATAGTACTAGGTAACAATTTCATTTTTATTATATTTACATTTAATTTTGAAAACGCATTTTACATATAAAATAATACAAATAAAAAATGTCTAATAATTTCATGAATAAATGTTTGTTGAAATCTTAATATATATATTAATATGTTAATAAATAAAATTTATTTAATTTAAAACCCCAATCATGACTTATACAATGTTACATACATAATACACGTCTTCAAAATTACTTAAAACTAATTAATTTTAATAAACATTTTATTATATTGTAACAATATTTATTTTCATCTATAATGGAAGACCAAAATAAATAGAAAATTATATGTGGATATATATAATAAAATAATTATTTAATATGAAGAATTTCTAAAGTAATACTGCATTATAAATAAAAAACTATCAATAAATATCGGCAAGATCAAAAGAGTTGAATGGCCAAAGAAAAAAATAATAAAATAATTATTATATATTTTCAATACATATGAAATTAAATTATTTATATTGTCATTATTTCAAATATAATTTTATTTTAACCTTCATGAGATTCATCTGGCAAGAACAAAAGTCATTTTACATATAAACTAATAGTGATTATGATATAGGAAAAACTGGGTTCAAACCCGTTACATTCAATACAAAATGTATTAATTCTTATATTATTGCATTGAGTATTTTGTTTTTATTACAAATTAATAAGGTTCATTTTTTATAATTTTCAAATTCATAAATCCTACATAATTTGAACTCTATCACATATAAATTGAAGTTCAAATTCTGTAACCAGATATTATTATGCGAAATTCACTACATATAAATAGAGCATAAGACGCATTTTCGCAAAGCACTGATTAGCTTAGAGTTAATGATATTTCATATATGCATTTCTAACTATCAAGCGATTATGATCTTTATTGTACATATTAATCAGAATCTCCCGATTATAGGTGCATTGTAATATGAACTACATACGATCAACATAAAGCGCATTTTACTAAAATCACAATATTCATGTGAGGTGCGTTGAGGCGATTATGCAAATATTACACACAATATACTTTATTCCATTGACATAAGGATCATTTCCAATGTTCAAGTCATGCTAGTATCACAATATAATTAAATATTATTTGATGTTAGCAGAACTATTTAATATGAGCTTTATATCGTGTACAAAAGGTATATTTTCGTACAGCAATGTAAAATGAGCTCTATGTAGTTAGTGTAAGGTGTATTTTTCAATATCTGTCCGGAACGACGCCCGCCAATCTTTCACATACCGCTTCTAGCTGAGCGTCCAACATTAACGACGCTATTTGCTCGTCTGTTAACATCTCCACACTGAAATATAGATTTTATTATAAATATATATAGCGTATATAATGCAATAATGTGTTAGAACTAGTATAAACCAAACAATGTAAATTGTCTCAGTTGTCTAAGTAGCTCACTAGGGGCGCCACTGTCTTCGCCGAAAATGTCATTGGTTGTATTATACTTTTAATTGTGGCAAGTGTTTTGAACTGTGTGTTGTCATGATAATGAATCTCAGTTTATAAATTTAATCCATTTTTAATTTCGTTTAATTCCATCATAATGCCATTATGAATAGAGATCATTATTTCAATTAGCATTACAAGAAAGTAAAATTCATTATCAAACAACTATACAACTTCCAAGTCCAAACTCGCATATGTTCAATCAGTGGCGGCTGTACCTTAAGTGCACTCGTGCGCTGAACCACCAATTCAAAAGATTAAAAAATTACAAAATGTTACTTCATCTTCATTTTTAAATTACTATTTTAATATTTACTTTTTAAACATATGAAAACGTATAAAAATTAAAAATCCTAATTATGGTCAAAAAGTTTGACGCTTTACTAAACTCTCGTGCGCTTCGGCGAGTGCACGAGGACTGCAAATACATCTTGTATGAGATACGAATTAATATGCCTGACGCGTGAAACAAAAGATAGTTCATAGAAATGTACCGAGTAATGAGTCGGTTCTCGAGCGGCCGAAGATTACCGAGAGCACCCGATGTATGACGAATTGGGCCATGATTGACATCTCGTTATGTTTTGTTGCATTTTCTAATTTTAATATTTTAGTAAAGTGTACCACCAGTTTGATTACCCACCAGCCGCCACTGTGTTTAATACTATTTTCTCCAGAATAATTTTGTTAATTTTATATTATTTAACCTTTATATAAGTATACTAGAATACCCGGCGAACTTCGTATCGCCCTATAATCAATAAATATCTGTTACGTTTTTTATTTATATTTTTGGAGTTTACCTATTAAAGCCATAAATCTCCGTGTTTTGAAGTGCGACAGAATGATTGACATATTAGTTAGTCATCAAATCTAATGACAAAAAAAACGTTTGTATCAACAACTACATACTAATAAATTAAAAAAACATTGTCCATGGATAAAATTGTCCATTGGATAAACACACACACAAAAAATTTCATCAGAATCGGTCCAGTCGTTTGAGAGAAGTTCAGTGACATACACACTCACAGAATAATTATATAAATAAAGATTAATACGTTGTATTTCTCTTACCGTTCTCATATACGAGTATATGTAAAAAGTACAATCTGTATCATACTATCATATTATCTGTGTTTTTAAACGTGGTATCAGTTATTCAATCACTACACATCATCAGTATGACCGAAATGTATCGATGACTTTCTTTGAGCGTGTCTCTGTGTGTGTGTGTCTGTCTGTATATGGTAACGCGTCTCGCATAACATTTCTCTTAGAAATCACCAAAATATGGCTGTAATGTATTTGACGGTGATGTCATGACTTTCATCATTTCCGTGTCGTCAATACATACCTCGCCAGACTGTCAGTGTCTGAGTATCGTTCGTCAGAGGCGGAGGAGGCTCCGTCGGGCGCGGGGGAGCGGCGCGGGCGGGGAGGCGAGCGGCGGGGGGTGCGGGGCGCGGAGCCTGACCCGCGACGCTCACCGAACAGAGATAGACCTGGAAAATATATATACAGAAGTATTAGACAAATATATATATAAAAAAAACCCGCTGAGTTTCTTTCGCCGGTTCTTCTCAGGTCAGGGTATTTTCTTTTCCGAACCGGTGGCAGTGTCTTAAATGACCATCAATAAGAAAGTGTAATGCTTCTATATTGAATAAAATTATTTGAGTTTGAGTTTGAGAGAGACCTGGAAATTGACATTTATTATATTAGAAAGGAAAACTTCGGAAACCTGGTTTTGATCACTAATGGACCTGGATATCTAGAAATTGTCACTCATTATCGTGGTGTATAGATTTAAGGTCTGCCCCTCATGGATGAGGGCGTGGGTTCGATCCTGGCAAGTACCAATGTGATTTTTCCGAGTCATATGTACTTTCTAAGAGTATTTAGACACCACTGACATACGGTGAAGGAAAACATCGTGAGGAAACATGGAGTTATGATTACAATATATAAGTTTGAAATTATCATTCTGTCTTGAGCAAGAGTTGTAATTAATGATCAAACCTTCTCAGTTCTCCATGTGACAAGAGGGGTTTGCTGAGCAGTGGGCTCTGATAGGCTGATGATGATGATATTGGATCTAATAACTGTTCTTAGTTTTTTCGCAATTTTTTTTCGCAAAACAATTCGCCCGCGTGGAGTTCAGCTATATCGCGTTTCCAAGAGAACCTTTCAAAAGTCTGGGATAAAAACTATCCTACGTTCTTTCTCAAGGTCAACTCTATGTCTGTACCAAATTTAATTAAAATCAGTTCAGTGGTTCAGGCGTGAAAACGTAACAGACAGACAGAGTTACTTTCACATTTATAATATTAGTAGGGATGGGTCGTATTACCTTGGAACATTTCTTTAACTTTCTCTCCGGTGTCATGTATGAGAGCATCCAGACTCTGTCGTCTTCCTCGTTCCAGTTCCGCTCGTAGGGCTGCGCCCCTGTCCCCGCCTCGGTCTCCGCCCCTGTCTCCCAGTATAATCCGCCGCGGGGACGCCGCTGACACTTTAGATTCAAACGGACTTTGCGGTGATGTCTTTTCAGGCGTCGACCTTGGACGTAGGGAACATTTCTCGAAGCTTATCTGTTTAGATAATTATATTATGAGAACTAAGTAATCACACTATACATTATAGTTTCGTCATTCCTACAATTTTACACCATGTATAACCGCCTTTATATGTTGTCACTATTGACTACGGCATATTATAAGTGCTGTAGTGAATCAATTTGAAGAAGCTACAATTGTAAAAACGATTTTCTACACCGAGTCGAGCTTATTCAATATCTCTCTCTCTCAATCTAAAAATCTATCTCAAATAGCTCGACCCAGCACTAATTATTCACCAGTCACCCTGTATAGTCAGTGGTGGCCTAGTGGTTAAAAGGCCTGCCTCCTGAGGGCACGGGTTCGATCCTGGCTCAGGCAAGTACAAATGTGATTATGTACTTTCTAAGAGTATTTAGACATCACTGATTAATGCATTCCCAAAGGGGGTTGATGTCAGGCAGGCGGCCGGGCGTAAAAAAAATTAGCCAAAACTATTCACAACATCTAAAGCAGACCCTGGCTAAAGAGGGGAAAATTGCCGGGTAGAAGAAGAATATATATGTATATGTGTGTGTGTGTGTGTGTGTGTGTGTGTATGTGTGTGTGTCACCTCCTCAGGGCTGGAGTAGTCCAGGTCTATCTCTGTCCAGGTGTCGGGGTCGCTTCGGTCCGCTCGTCTCAGCCACTCCCTCACACTGTCATCGTTGTTGGTGATCTCCTCGAGCGCCTCGCTGGCGTTAGACTCGCTCGTGTCAGTTATTGTTGAACGATCTATGTCTGGAAATACCAAAATTATATAAAGTAATTTAATATACTAGTTTTTGAGCGCAACTCGGTCTGCGTGGACTTCAGATATGTACGCAAGTATTACATGTACATGGAATTAAATTCAAACTTATCTTCAAAATATCTATACATTATTTCACAATGACTATTTTATTAACATACATTTATCCATCATCAATGCCTTCTATACTATTCAAGTATGCATAACAGATTATTATGTATAGTATATAATAATGCATTAATCACCTCAACTCCTCACATGAATATTGTGATTTTAATAAAATGAGTTTTATGTAGATTCTAGTAAGTTCATATTACAATGCACTTATTATTGGGAGATCCTGATTAATAAATGTACTACAATAAGGCTCATAATCGTTTGATAGTTAGTTCATCTCACCGTTCCTTGTAGACTGTCTCCGAGACCGATGCCTGTGTATTTCATCTGATATCCGTTCAAGATTCCTTAAAGCAGTTGAATATCTCTGTTTCGCTTCACACACTTGTTGTTCTAGAGTCTGTATTCTGGCCTTCTGACTCTCAAGCGATGAATTGATACGAGCTTTCTCTTCAAAGTAGGGCCTGATACAAATAGCATCTCAATTAATATATATAATTTTTTCTCAATACAATTTTGGACAGGCAAACATCTTAGACTATATAGCTGATAATATTTATTATTGAAAAATATTTCAAAGTCAGTGACAAGAATTTATTGACATTTTTTTTTATTACATTTGATTTGTGAAAAAGGTATGCATTCATGCAGGATGCTATAGTAAAGTGTATAATTATGGCTTATATGCAAGCATAAAGGAAATAAAAGAAAATAAGGAAAAAAAAGATGTACCAAAAGTGATGCGGCTGTCAGCAGCGTGCCTGTGGAAGAAATGTGCAACTAAAGAAGCGTTATGGCATATGTTAGTAAGCATTGTACTAATAAAGGTTTCTATACAATTACTATAGAAGAAATTATTTATAATTCTTTACTAGGGAATTACGGCGTTTTTTTCGGGAGTTTATGCTCTTTAAATCAGATTATAAGCTATCTTGTGACAATTTATTTCAAGAAATGGTAAAAAAAACGCTACTGTGAAACTAGCCTTAAAAATAATGATTTTGAAGGTATATTAATATTATTTGTTCAAGATTTACTCTACCGTGACTTAGCAATATGTCTCTTAAGTCCGTTCTGCAATTGTTGCACTAAAGCCGTGGCTGCCCGGTGTGAACCAGCCTTAGTCCGCTGCGTCACCGTCGCTGAAGCCCTATCCGCTTCCGCCTAAAGCATATTTTAATATACAACAATAATGGTCTTCATGGAATATCTATTAATAGGTGAAAATTTCATTTGAAAATAATATATGTATATAATGATTTCCTAGTTTGGTTGACTATTACAGACTTAGTAAGAATATATACATACATTTTTTGTATAAAATTACAATTTTATTATGCTTAATTAAGATTTCATTAGTCCGAATATCCCACAGCCTTGACTAAAAAATTGGATTTTTATTTTCAAATACTCAACAACTTAGTGAATTTACATACTTGATCTTTGAATATTACATATATGACAGAAATAATAAAAAATATAATCCGAATGTTCCTGTTATACAAGCTGTAAGTATGCTGATAATATATCTTGGTTATTATTGGAGAATCAGTAATTCTATATCCTACTAATATTATATTTGCGAAAGTTTGTGAGTGTGTGTGTATGTTTGTTACTTCTTCACGCTCAAACGGCTGAACCGATTTTGATAAAATTTTGTATACAGGAAACTGACGTCTAGGAATAACATATAGGCTACTTTACATCCTGGAAGTCCGCGGGTAACACCGTGGGGCGCAGCTAGTTGTTAATATACCTGGTTAACTCTATGTGTGGCGTGGTTGAGCATTTCCTGCCATGCGGGGTCCAAGGTGAGTCCTCCGGAGCCATCGGCCAGTCTTGCCAGGCCTTGCTCTGCAAGATACACCATTTCCCTTGCAGCGGCATGCGCACTATTAGCTTTGTCATAAGCCAAGTTAGCTGTGTGCAACTCTTGAGAGGTCTGTGGATTACATTATTTATGTGTTTATATAGGTAGTAAAATTTAATAGATAAAAAATTATTTGCCTTTTCAAACATTACCAGTGGTTTATAAATTTTTGTTGAAATAAAATTGTACCATTTTTATCATAAACAAAACAAAGACTTAAAACAGGTTTGCACAAATTTTACTTTGGGTAAAAGAATATATATATTTGTGTGTAGGGCAAAACTTTATATAGAAATAGCTTTCATGAAAACCGGGGAATATCTTTAGATAAGAATTGCTGTATATTACTTACAATATTAGCTCTAAATCTAGCTTCATAGTACGGTCTGGCTTTATGCACGCTGGTTCCAAGCTTTTTAGTAAGCTGTTGTATCCTTAAGTGTCCCTCGGCAAGAAGGCGGCGGAAAGCCAAACGGGCCTCATCTAATTCTACCTCAAGCCTATTAATCTCATCTGTTGCTGTGTTCAGGCGTTCTAACTCGATCTATTAAAAAATATTTATTTTTCAACCACATAATCAACTGATACTTAATTTTCTAGAGTAATATTTTTTAAATGTTTATTTATTTTTACGTGAATAAATGGGAGTGAATTAAAAATATATATAATTTATAATATTTTTTTTAAGGGACAAATAAAAAATATTAATTGCATAACGCGTAATTTTTAGAAAATCTCAGTATATAGATGGTCTCTTGATCAATTATTTTCTGAGATCGTGTAATAATATTAGTCATGTCAGCCACCTACATAAAAAAAAATTGCTATTGTTCGCTCTTCAATTTTAATGTCTTTTTTAATATCGATTATTTTTACCTGCACTCGAGGATCTAGAGTTTCTGTACATTCTGCTACGCTATCGTTCATTTTCCTCTTAAATTAAATACATTGTAGGCACAGTTACATTCAGCATACAGCTTTATTTATATTTCATTGCTATTATTCAATTAAGTGCCGCATCGCCATCGCTAAAAAGCGAATATTAAGCTTTACTACACAAAGCCTTGTTCCGCTTGAAGTTTTTTAGATAAGGTCTACTATGCTCTATGGAAGTTAATGTCAAAAAGTCATAGATATTTTCGAAGATAGAGTTTAATTATATTTATTCAAATTCTTATAAGTTACGTCTTGTTGATTAAAGTAAAACGCTATATAATTTAAAGCTATATTTTATACTTACAACTGTGTTAAATTTCCGATTTGCTGCTTCAACTGATTCTTATGGGTTCAAATATATTAATCGTATGTTTCCTTTATGTCAAAGACGACTTAATGTTATGTGTCATTATACCTGTCAAAGGGTATGAGAAAGTGTAAGTTTTGACTTTTGAGGGACTAGATTGTAGAACGGCTGTAAAGGGTAGAAAGTGTTATTTTCATATTAAAAACAAATAAACTGTAAACATGGTGTGTATTTATATTGTAACATTCGCTTTCTGCGTTTAAGTATTATAATAATATGTGATTTGTTTAAGGCTACCGAAGTTGAAGAAACTATCAAAAGGATCCAAGCTCATAAAGGTGTTATGGGTGTCGTCATCGTAAACCACGAAGGTTTGATCAATTTTTATTTATTTCCATAGAAACGAGTGAAATTATTGATTTTATGTACAAGGATAGATTTTATTATTAAACTAAAACATATTATATACGACACAAAGTATGTTTTAGCAAAGTAAATAACTATATGTTGCTACAAAACTATTTCAGGCATACCAATCAAGAGTTCTTTAGATAATGCAACTTCAGTGCTGTATTCTGGTCTGATAGGACAACTCACTGAGAAAGCAAGGAATGTTGTACGTGAAATGGTAATATATTATTTTATTTCATTATTCTCTTGTTTTACATTGAAATTATGGAATATTAAGTAAATATCAATGTTTTTATTTGTTGAAAAAATATAAATTTCAAAACCTTGCCAAGAACACATGAAACAATATTCATTATTTAACTATTACTTGTCTTGGTCTTTAATTTTCTGTCTTAATTTTTTTGGTTTGTTTCACCTTAAATCTTGATATTTCAAAGTATTAATTGTAGACCTTTAGTTAAAAGGCATGTGTTTTTGAAAATGCTGGCATTAACAATTGAGATATCTAGATTTGGTTGATTATGCTACCTTACAGATATCATAGTTCATACCCATATAACTACATGGTATCAATCATTTTTTTGACTGCTTCTGTCTGTACAACTTGTCTGCTGCAGAGGCTGATAGTAAAGTTAGGCTGGTTTTAATAGACAGTGCATTCATAATTAGGTTTTGGGGTAAGATGTGGTCTAAAAACACTATAGTTTCTCTCAAATAACTATAAATTTCTATGAAATATAACAAATCTGATAGTAATTAAATTCATGTGCACCTAAGCATTCTCCATATTATCCATATACAAACTAAGAGGACAGATCATATAGGTAAGGGAAAAATTTTGCTTTGTCTGGCATAACTATAGTCTTTACTTATATACTCTATTGCATTGGCTAGATAACTTGTGACTTAAGAGAATAAGGTATCAATTGACCAATTATAGCAGTCCTTATCTTAAGCTTATACTTCCAACACTTTATTGCTGAGGTTACAAGGTAGTCCAATGTCTTCTAATTTTTCAGTACAGTAATACCTCGGACTTACGCGATAGGTGGGACTGAGTGCTATCCGCGTAAGTCGAATTCGCGTAAGTCGGGGTACAATTTTGCATATAAAGTCATACAAAGTATGTTTAATTGGGACTGGAGACTAAATAAAACAATAATTTAGGAAATAATTAGTATCTAATTCTCGATAATATGACAAACTATATTAATAGAGTGTATAAACACAATCCGAAGTTATTTTGATGTAGAAGGTTTCATAAATTGTAACAAAGTCGTCTGACGAGTCAATGATTTTTTCTTCTCCCGTAATATCTCCTCGTAGCATCCTAGTAATTTTTTTATTCCATTTTTTGTAACAAAAATTCGCTCTTCATTGGAGTCTATGCTTTCCAAAATTGTTAACCCTTTCTCAATCGAACTGAGGGCTTCTGTCAAGTTTCCAACTGTCATTTGATCTTCTAATTGAACTGGATCCAAAGAATCATTATCAATTTCTTCCTCTTGTTCATGCATTGTTATGAGCTCATCAATTGTAAGCTCCTCATTGTGTGATTCCAACAGCTCTTGAACATCATCACTATCCACTTCCAAATTTATTTGTCTACCAAGTTCGACAACGTCTTTGATCACACTGCAAATTTCATCAGGCCCTGGCACTGATTCCACCTGAGACTGACTGTGCGGCGTTCAAACAGAAAAAAAAGAATATATGTATTAGAAAATTAAATCGCGTAACTCCGAATTCGCGTAAGTCGAGGTAGCGTAAGTCGGGGTATTACTGTACTCTGATGCTTACTAATAATAACAGGATTTTTCTTCCTATCATAGCTAAAAAATGGCCAGACCTAATCAGCACGGATAATTACTCAGTATAATTACTATCTTACATAAAATAGTCATATCCAACTTTTTTATATAATTTTAAATAAATTTATAATGTAAATACCATTATACTAAGTGTAGTATTTTTTGTGTAAAGTTCCTATCTTTATTTTTATATATATATTTCTAGATTATATATAAGTAGTAGTATGCTCATTAAAAAACGATTCTTCTAGACAAGTGTATATAATTTTCAGGATTCCACAAATGAGTTGACTTTCCTCAGAGTAAGAAGTAGAAGACATGAGATCCTGATAGCACCGGACAGAGAATTTATTCTCATTGTGATTCAGAATACTACCGACTAGTCAAAAAAATCTTGAGTAACTTATACTTTATATCTTGGTATAATTTTAAAGGCTTTTCTTGATTTTAAGTAATAGTAATCACTAACAAGCTTTGTCGGAAATAATAAATTTAAGTTGCTCGGAAACTTTTTACTCACATAAGCAGTGGCGGCTGTACCTTAAGTGCGCCCGTGCGCTGAACCACCAATTCAAAATATTTAAAAATTACAAAATATTATGTCATTTTAATTTTTAAATTACCATTTTAATATTTATTTTTTAAACATACAAAAAGGTATAAAAAATTTAATTTCCAATTATGGTCAAAAAGTTTGAGAGCTTTACTAAACTCATATCGTGCGCTCCGGCGAGTGCACGAGGACTGCTAATACATCTTGTATGAGATACGCATTAATACGCCTGGCGCGTGAGACAAAAGATAGTTCATAGAAATGTACCGAGTAACGAGTCGGTTCTCGCGCGCCGCACGAAGCGGCAGAAGGTTACCGAGAGCACCCGATGTATGACGTATTGAGCCGGCCGGCAAGGGGCCGGCCGAAAGGATGGGTGCTATGATTGACATTTCGTTAATCGTTATTGGTATTGTTTCAACTTTCACTGTATGTGTGATGCGTTAATTCGTTATTGTTTATAATTATTTCCGTAATTCGTTTTAGTTTTTATTTCGTTTCTATAATAGAACTTTTATTCTGTACTGTGTTTTTTATTAGTTGAAAATGAGTATAAATATTGATTATATTAAAGAAAATAACAAAATTTTTCAAAGTAAAGTGAACATAAAATTGGCCGGGCCGCCACGGCCCTTTTTAAATTTAAAACAAGAGTGTAAATCGAAAAATAAAGCATTAATACGAAGTTTTAAAAGTGAAATGTATAATAGAAAGAAATGGTTGTGTGGATGTGAGCGTCTTAATGCATTCTTTTGTTTTCCTTGCATTATTTTTGGCGGAGAATCGATTTGGACAGAAACTGGAATCAAGGATTTGACGCATTTAAGTGAAAAAATAAAAAAACACGATTCTTCACAAGTACACCTACAAAATGTAATGAGTTTGTCTGTGTTAGGCACTGTCGATATTCGTAATCAGCTAGATTCTGTGTATAGAAGTAATATCCAAAAGTATAATAAACAAGTTGATAAAAACAGATACATTTTATCACGTCTTATCGATTGTGTCAAGTTTTGTGGTGCATTTGAGTTAGCTTTGCGAGGTCACGATGAAACTATTGAGTCCAGTATTGCTGGAGTGTTTCGTGGATTAATAGACTTTGTATCAGAGTTGGATATAGTTATGAATTAATGTACACAAAATAAACATATTTTATGTCAATTGTTGTTTTTGTCAATATTTTAGTAAAGTGAACCACCAGTTCGATAACCCACCAGCCGCCACTGCACATAAGTACTTATAATTGAAAAATAATTTTCTTTGATAAATTTGTTAAACACAAGCATATTGATAGCAATGTACTACAATCACTTATAAATTATTTAATTAGTTGTAAGGTAATAAATGTGGTGAACTAATATTTGTTTTATTTGTAAGGTAAGGAAAATGAAACAATAATTTCTTGTTCCTATTTATTAGAATCGATGGAACATAAAGACATGCACACATGAAAAACTTCAGATAAATAGCATACTTACCAATGTGTACTCACCCTTATTTAATGTTAAACTTATAAGACAGCATTTTCTAACAAATTTAAGTAGGATTTTGTTTTATATATTTCTACGAGATATTTGTTAGATTTTACTTTAATGTTAAATATATTCCAACAAATTGTAGAGGCTTTTTACAATTTAATATGTGTTTAAATTGATATTTTGAAAGTAATTTTATTATTAAGTCAGTATTAATTTAATATTTTTATGAAATGTAAATTGGAAATTGCATTTTTTTCTATTTTAGCTTATGTCCATATACATATATTTAAATGATTTTATTTATATTTAAACCATATATTTGCTCTTTGAATGAATATTTTGAAAGATTGAATTTTTATTTTAAAAACCTTTTTAACACAATATAATATATTTTTGTAAAATAATTTTTCTCCCAATGTCCGCTAGCAATCAAAATTCATCGTAATTTTTGTAATTTCTTTTTATTAAGTCACACATAGTACGGGATACATTTTTCATTTAGTTTTGAACATTTTACAAATATTTTTGAGAACATCTTTTAAGTTTAACATAATTTTAGTATTATTAGAACTATAGCTAATCTTATTTTTTATTTTAATTGTAGTAAAATGTTAACGCTATGTACTCAACTTGTCGAGCTATGATAAAATTGTTACATTTATTTGTTCTTTCAACAAAAATCTATGAAAAACTGTTCATATTAAAATGTCAGTTTCTGGTATATAATATTGTTTTTTACGATGTTATCTTTATAACATATTTGTTTTATAAGTAATCTCATTTGCATTTGTTTCGGTAAAATATACCTTAAAATTTGATTTTTATTCAAATTATACTTATTGTTTAAGTATTTTTCTAGTTTCACAGTTTATTCTCCATTTTATTGGCCGTTTTTGTTATGATTTCAGTTTTGTCAACATTACTCACCATTAACTGTGAAAGTTTCTTCTCTGGTGTCCTGAAAGCACATTTATGTTAACAAGATTTTCAGTATAAAATTGAAAATTAATATCACAGAAATGTATGTTAAATTTTTCTTATTAAAATCGTGGGTTACTGTCGCCAGGGATTACTTTGTTAGTCATAATTAATAGATCTGATAATCTTTCACAAAACTGTTGATAAAGCAATAATTTAAATTGCTAATAGTTTTCTCAGTACAGATTTTTCCACATTTATATGTATATTTGTCATGTTGTTTAACTCATGCAAGAGAATTTAATGATAACATCAATTCAATAAATCAATTCTGTTTTTCAAAGTCAGAGGTTCGACAAAAGTTGTATGTATTTTTCGAAATTAACTAAAAATAAATGTTATTTAAAGGTGAACTATATCATTTTTCAACAATTCAAGTACTATATATATTAATGTATATAGAAATACATATATTCATCCCTACTAATATTGTAAATGCGAAAGTAACTCTGTCTGTCTGTTACGCTTTCACGCCCAAACCATAGAACTGATTTTAATGAAATTTGGTACAGACAGAGTTGACCATGAGAAAGAACATAGGATAGTTTTTATCCCAGAGTTTTGAAAGGTTCTCTTGGAAACGCGATATAACCGAACTCCACGCGGGCGAAGCTGCGGGCGGGAAGCTAGTTTGTTATAAGTCCATATTCACACTATCATTTACCAACTGTGTTACTTAGGCCCCCGCGCGTAAGGCGAGGCCCTGTGAGTGAAATGTCTCCCTTGCGAAGGCCCCGGGCGGCGCGTGCCTACATCTCTGGCGGAAGCCTTATATTCACGGCCGTCTTCTTTATAGTAACCACCATCGTCTTCGTAGAAGCGTTCCTGGTTGCGATCGTAATAGTAATCCTGCTCTGGGGCAGCGCGTGGGGGACCTCGCGGTACCTGGTTGTTCAGTAATTTAATATTTATTATCAGTATAAAAAAGCTTCAAAAACAAGATAGGACTAAGCACAAGGTACTTTGTAAGAAACTTATAAAATTAACATAAGTAATTGTAGTAATTTGTCTGTGAGACTATATCAGTTATAAAAGACTGCAAAAAAAGCCTAATACTCTAGAAAGGTTTTAATAACCAGAAAATTTATAAGAAATTTATAAAATTAAACCAAGTAAGTCATTTGTGAGTGAACCAATGGTAGTGTTTCAATTGACCATCAATAAGAAAGTGTAATGCTTATATATTGAATAAAGTTTGAGTTTGAATGAGAGTATATAATTATGTATTCTTTTATAATACATAACGAAAAGATTTATCAACTCACAGGTGGTTCCGGGGCGGCGTAAGAATCTTCGTATGAATAGCTGGACTCCATAGCTGAACGAGCTCGGTCTAATATACTGAAGACCTTTGTTTTCGATGGCATCGGTCTCATAGATGCCGGTGGCATGCGAGGTGGAGCAGCCGGCCTCGGAGGAATATGTGGTGGTACCGGACCTTGAAGTATACAAATAATTAACCAAACATATAAAGAACTACTTACTATGTTTATTAATTCTATTCAATACTAGTACACAAAATCCCTGCAATTCTAATAGTTAAGAAACCTAACATATATATAATATAATCTCACTCCAATGCTAACCCTAACATTATAAATGATGGGCGCACCTGCCATACTAAGCTCGGGATTCTGGTAGGAGTGAGACCTCTTGGTGACTGTACAGGCTCTGTACACCACGTTCTTTTGTGGCAGATCTAGCAAGGGCGCCCGGTGATCTGACAGACAAATGTGCCCTTAGCTTCAATTTGCGGATTAATTATAGTCTTATTTGATCAAAATTTTAACAATATCTATACCAGAACTATATATCACATGTAAAAAAATACTAGCAATGTAACCATTTTATATATTCTTATTTTAAAACTGTCTATTTTAGGACAAAATCAAATAATTTTGAGTGGGTTTTTTATTTAATTTTGATTAATTACAACATATACAATCCTGATGTCTTTTATATAGAAATTGAATGTATATAGTAATAGTAAGGAGTAAATAGAACATATTAAATGAATTTGTATATATACACAATTTTCTAGATCATTCTATTAACCAGCAAACTGAAGCTTTATATTTTAATGGTAAGGAGTTTAAGAGTTATCTTCTAAGTACAATATAACCATCACATTTCATGATATACAATATAAGTGATCTTGATTATATTACCTCTATCCATGAGTTCTCTCATCTGGTTCTGTCGGAACATATCGTTGGGGTCCGGTATTAAGTATTTCTTTACTTCGGCCAACGCATATGCGATTCTTGCATATGCTTCAGCGGGTGGAGCCATTGCCATTACTTCCACATGGAGTTCATCCGACAAATGTGCGTATTTGGGATCTAATGAATTTCTTAGTTCTTCTTCCTTTTTTCTGTAATAATTTATTAAACATTAGATATTTTATTACATTTTTATTTACATATTTTTTGACAAATAAGATTTTTAAAGGCAAATAGTGTAGGCAACTGTATGTAACACAAGTTTCTCATATGATAGTGTTATTAATTATTTTTGGGAAATCTTATGTAAATATTAAGAATACTATGTGTTTACTTAGCAAATTATTGATAGTAACAATTTTTTTAATAACAAACCTGTCTCTCATAGATCCTCTGCCAAGTATGGCCATTTTACACATTGTTTCTTCCTGCAGTTGTTTCATGGTGTTACCTTTAGGTCCAAGCAGTTTACCAACGAAATTCATCTAAAACATACAATTTGTGTTCATGAAATTATATATTTAACCATAACTTTATAAATTCAGGTATTTTGTGATGTTTAAATACAAATTATTGTTAGTCAGAAGTTTTTTTACCTTAGGATGTTCTTTTATAGGCACCAACACTTTAACTGTGACTTTGATTGGCTTTTCCTTGTAAACATCTAAGTATTTGAAGTCTTTAGGGGGTATTCTGCCTGAAGACTGTACTTTTGCGACTTCTAGAACGTAAAATAGCAATTTAAGGTTAAATAATTTTGTAATGATCATATATACACCAAAACTCAAACCAAGAAGTTGGGTGATGGGTCTCACAGCGTGATTCATTAAGTACCGTTATTAAGACAGGTCAATTGAGTTCAAGTTGAAATCGTAATTTTACAGAATGAAACAAATATATCAGTACATTTTTTTAAAGTAATTTTTGAAGATTTCAAAATATATTAAAATAAAAGGGTTTAAATGTTCATAATTTATAACATAAATATAATTGTTTCTGATAAATATCATACCTTGATCAATGAGCCTGGAGGACACAGGGAATTTTGCGTTATTTAATTTTATTTTTTCACTGAGAAGCTCACGCATATATTCGCCGGCTTTTTCGTTTAATTTTGTCCCATCTTCGCCATCTTGTTCATGTTCCTGTTCTTCTTGTTGTTCAGTAGAATTTCTTTTAAAATCACTATTGTGACCATTTTTGTCATATTTTTCTGCCATTATGACAAATTCCTTCAACAAATTATAAATATATAAGATGCTATATAGCGAAATATAAGAACTATTTCAATGACACAAAAATACAAGCACTTAAAGCTCGCACTTGGTAAGGAGGAGTGACTCGCGATCGAGAACAGCAAATAGCAAAGCGTCAAACAAGCACAGATAATATAAGAAAATGTAGGCTTCTCGTTGACATAGAATATGGAGGTAAAACTTATGATAAATCACCAAAATTACAGTGTTAAACAGAAGTTGTGTCGCAATTATATAAATATTTTAAAATATTTATATATATTTATTGGACAATATGCTGAGAATTGAGTTGTGAAAATTAAATTAATAAATAAATGCACTTCTTTATTTATGTTGTTAGAGCATTGGTCCAAAATACACATACATTATTAAGGGGTATGCTAATAGTTATTGTGCGGTCAAGCTTGTGCTCGTAATATAAAAGTCTTTGTTTTAGTTTTAAAGTTCTTATTTGTCGATTTGGAGTGTAGAAAAGTCATTAAATAATAATAAGTGTTTGTAAAATTGGAATATTGTTCTGGAAATAAAGTGATTTTATTTATTTATTTTATTTATGTAAAGCTATTATATATATTCCATGAATATTCATTCTAAATAAACTAAAAAAGTATTTTATTTTTTTCATTAAAGAACAAAAAATGTAATGAAACAAATGTGGTTTGGATATTTTCCTCTATTTGTTTATTTTGATCTTATTGTAAATATCTCTAAGAAGGTCATAAAAATTATCAATATGTATAACTATTTTTTATTTATTGCTTGCATTCATTTTGTCTTGCATCAGCTTTGCATTTTTTTTATTGGTTCTCGCATGTTGCATTACAACTATAGCGAATTCTTCACGCGGTGCCACCATGACTTCAATTTTCCTTGTTATGATTCTTAAAATTAAGACTTCGTCAAATGGGTCCTGAAACAAATATTATCTAAATAGCGAGATAACTGATAATATTTAAATAAACGTAAAATGTTGGTCCTATTAACACAAAGCTGTGGTTCATGTACTAAATATATGTAGTTCCAGTAGTTTTAAACAATCATAGAGTACATATATAAATGTTAAGATTTGTTACAATTTCTTGTGCACTTATTTGCGCCATTTGTCCCAAGTTTCTCATTCCCATTCCATAGTTCGTGGCTGCGACTAAGTTTATGTTTGTTAATATTGGTACTCCTGAAATTTTTTAATTGCAATAATTATTACTTGTGTCATTGCCTAATGAATATGGATAAGATTTTTATGTAAAGAAAAATTTTTATAAGTAAAGAATTAGGTTTAATTATGAAATATAACCTTCTTTGTTTGTCATAATGACTCCTTCCACTGAATCGTCTTCCATCATTCTGTCTACCATTGGATTTATCTTATTTATTGCGTCCGTCTAAACAAAATAAATAGGTACATTATTATAAATTTCTTCAAAAAAAAATCTATAAAAGATATGCGCTTGCTCTAGATTATGTCAAAATTATTTTCTCACGAAAACAATAAAATATAAAATATAGTCTATGGAATTAAACGACAGACAAAAAAGTCCATGAAATAATATTTCGGAATATTAATTACTAACCGTTTTAACAAGCCATTCGTCAAGTGAATCTTTTAATAAATTTGATATAATCTTCATTATGGGCCTTAATTAGCGATATTATTTACCAAGTTACCCTTAAATGTTTCAATGAAAATAAATTATTTTTCTCAATTAATAGATAAATAAATGGTAATTCTAATTAGCTCACTTTTTAAACGGTCTTATTATTTTCCTTTGAATTGGTCTTTGGTAATTTGTGTATAACACAAGCCGCAAAATCTTTGCCCGTAGCCACTGTGATTTCGTTTTTTTTACTTATTATTCTATAGGCAATTAAGTTGTCAAGAACATCCTGTCGGCCATGATGAAAACTTAAACTTATTTGTTAAAAATATATAATGAATAATAATTATTCGATTTAAATGTTATTCAATATTGGATGATGAATATTACTATTTCTTTTATTGCAGTTTGGAATAAAGACGTCAAAGATGGCAGCTTGCTTGATAAGGTTTGAGAAACTATCAGCGGGACTGTGCACATTTGAGGAAAATCTGTAATAAAATATATTGAAAATCCATTGATTCTGAAGATTATTTACTAACTTTAAAGAAATTTACTTTAAAATAGCACTTACAGAGAAAATGTTAAATATTTTTTATAAGGTGTTTCATTCTAATTTTATTTTTGGAATTTGAGAATATTGCAGATGTGTCTTAATAAAATTATGAGAATCATGATAATGTTAATTTTGGAAGAACAATAATATTTAAAATTTGATTTTGTATTAATATTATGTGTCTTTAAATATAATAAGGTATTTCGCTATAACTCTCAACGTCTTCGGTAGTATAGTGGTCAGTATCCCCGCCTGTCACGCGGGAGACCGGGGTTCGATTCCCCGCCGGAGAGATTCTTTTTTGTAAATTATTTTTATGGATAGACATTTTATATAATTTTTAAATATTTATATAATATTATTTTTTACTCACTGTTGCGAAAAAACATAATTCCGATCACTCTCGAGTTATCTTCGATTCTTGTTATTATCTTTGTCACGGTTTTGTCGAAATCCTTAAAAGTTTTACATATTTATTAACTTATTTTAAATTCCTTTCAATGTTTCTTAAAAAAGTCTACATTTTACGAAACACTTATAAAAATTGTGTTATAAAAATAAATTAGAAAACACTTCGATACAAAAGTTCTTACGCTTGGGAAATCTGTTTGATAAGGTTTTTTTTTATAAATCGACATTATTATATATAATTATTATAAAATATTCAAAAGTATTATAAAATCCGATGTAAAACAATATAATATAAATACGACATCTAGATGGTTATTCAAATTACCGTTTTATATTGGCTTAGGTCTCATTTATAGAGCATTTTTTTTATATTAAAAAATATTTTGAGATTTTTTAAATTTATTAACATATAACACATTACAATATTAAAAGAAAACAAGTACTAAAAATATAATATAGCACAAAATTTAATTACAAATTTATTATGAATTTTTAATAATAAGTATACTTTTTTGTTTTATGTTTTAAGTTTGTAATTCCTTTTTTCTTTTTATTTTCCCTTACTGGTAACGTACGTAATAGTTAAGGAATTGGTTATATATTTATAAAGTTTTTTTAATTTTGGTAAAAAAAATCATATAAAAAAGAATTTAAACGTTTAAATTACGGAGATCTAATAATTTATATTGATAGTCGTTTTGACAGATAATAATTATAAAGCTACGCTAATACTATTTTGTTAGCTATTAAAAAACTTTTTTAACCTTTCGATACATTAGGAGTTTCCTCATTATTATGAATTATGATTAATATTTATATGTTTAATATTTAAACATGGGAAATTACTTAAGGATGTACGGATTTGTGGACATTTAATTGGGTTGTAGTTTTTTTCTTTCAACCAATTTTTTATTGAATGAAATTTATTTCTAAAGCTCTAATACAAAATAATACTTTTTTTTGTTCTGTTTCGTATTTTCTTATTTTAATTCTTGATATCATTCAGTTTTTTTAACGGTTTCGTTTGGAATATCGATATTGACAGAACACCTGAGTCCCAATTGGCGCCATTACGCTAAGTGCTATGAAGCAAATTGCTGTGTAAATGTCTTCAGTATACAATACAATTTATCTTATTTTGACCGCCTGTAATACGTATTTTTTGATAGATTTTATGTTTAGTGAATAATAATTTTAAAAACTTATTACCAAAGAAGCTTCTAGATAAAATTGATGTAGCTAGAACGAAAGATTTATTTGTATGTAGATGAAGATATTGTAGTTCTTGAATTAAATTAAAAGAAAACGTTGTCCGTATAAGGGTCCTTATACAATGGCGAAGATTTGTTCAGCTTCTTATTTACCTAAAAGCCTGTCACTTTACTATAAAAAGAAAAAACACTTTCTTATTTAAGGAGCACATCTATTAGTTTCAGATTTAATTCATTTTATGAAATGAAATTTTTCATTTAATGGGATTTTAATATCTTAAATAATTGTAGCCATAAAGGCATTCTCTTTAAATAAAAGATAGAATTATTTATTTAAATCACTTTAACAAATGCAATATGGCAACATTTAGCTCGTATTTCTACATATGTCCATAACCGTAAAAACTATTGCAAAAAAAACCTACATATGTTCCATTTTGGCGTATGTTTACTTAAAACTAATATTTTTTTATGAAACATGTGTGAATTCTACAAATAAAAACTATTTGTTTTTATATTTCACCTCTGCTAAGGGTGCCACGGTTTCAATCTATTTTTTTTTGTACAAATGCTTCCAATTTATCTTATGTATTTTATTATAAGAGCTATTAAAAAAAAGTAATGTTAAAAGTCGTGAATATATTTCATGTTTAATTTTGAAATGATATATTAAAGGGTATATGGAGTCAAGATTTAAGTCCTGTTAGCATTTTAGACGTAAAAGTATCAAGCGTGTCTATGGCATGAATTACGAAATATTTTTGAGACCAAGCATACTTTAATTTCTTTAAAAGCTTTTCTTTTCTGTCTCGTGAACTCTAAAAACATTTAATTTCTTCTACCGGAACAGTAAAGTAATAATTAAATGCCAAAGTTTGGACGTTAGAGTGTTTGTATTTACCAAACAGTTTGAAAGACCACGTTGTATATACGAGATTAAGTTTCTTGTACGTCATATTTGTTTAAAGTTTAACTAAAACTAATTCTAAGTTATGTCTTAATTGAAAGGCCGTTGTGATAGTTTAGGATTGTTTTACGATCGATAAATTCACGATATCCGTTCATTTGTTGATAAAATTAGCAAAGGAAATTATTAAAAAATAGTTTTTCATTAATATATGTATAGAATTATATTTACATTTTGATATTTCCTAATTTACTTTCCAATCTATGTAAAAATAATTTAATGGTTTCCATTTCTAAGGACATTTGATCCATTTTAACGTTTAATTCAACAATCGATTTATTTGCATCATCCATTTGAGTTTCAATTTGTTTTTTATTTTTTCCCGGGCATTCGTTTATTGGTAATATTTCCATATCTTTTAACGTAACCTTTTTTGTTGCTTGAGTTATTTCTTTTGTAGATTCATTCTTTGTCGCTGCCTGTGCATTCTTATTGGACAGATTCAGACTGACAATAGCTTCATGCATTTCATCAATTTTCTTTTTGAAGGTTTCCATATGGAATTCTTCCTCCATTTGTAGCTTTTGTAGCTGGGCTTTATCGATTATAGCGTTTTTGATACGCGATGGCACTGACCTGTTAAATCTCCACCGAGTCTTACCGGGACAGAAAGACATGACGTTCATGACTTTTCTTTTATTCTGCAATCGTTTGCTAACTCGATTTGGCAGTATCGTGCGAAAGAACTTATTGTAGACTAAATTGTCCAACGTACCAAGGAATTCGACTTGCTTGGCCAGTCTTCTTATATTGCCTAATATTTCCAAATCGTTAATATCATTAACCGCTACACCAACCATTAAATTCATGAGTACTATAGCTGCAAGAATAAGAAATATAACAAATATCAGTCTAACTACTATCAGTGATTTCGCGAGATCATTTGAATGTGCCTCGTCAAATAAATCCATGTAGTCAAACTCTGACGTCATCATCACCATGGTTTTGACAAACGCAGCCCACGGACCATCAAATGGCATTTCTGATCTAAACTGTATCATAAAACTTAGAGAAAATCCTATCACCAAGAACGCAAATGTGAGGAGTATCTGAAATCAATGAAAGAGAAATCATTAGTAGTAGATTTATATGTGAAAGTTTAAGTATTAGCCGAGTAGTAGTAAACAATATTACTATATTTTTTAATTCGTTTTAATACTGATATGTGATCATAGACTTAAGTTAAAATACATATTGCATATTATTCTTAATGCTGTCTTCAATCAGAACTAATTATTACGTTTAAATAAAATACGTATCATCTATGAGATACCAAAGTATCTATGAGATGCGTTGGTGTATAATTTGCTATGATGTATCAATTACCAAAGTATTTATGAGATACGTTGCTGTATAGTTTGCAAGAATAAGTCTATAATGATAGCCTTTGGTTAAAAGATACGGAAATATGATAATGTTTAATTAATATTATATATTACCTTTATTACATTACTAGCGACTTTACCAAACATAAGTACATAATAACCCCAATTTGGAAATCTAGATAGTAAGAACATTAGTTCTATCCAAGAAAGCAGTAGGGCGCATGTCGCGATGTGTCTTGGTAATTCGGCGACACTATCAGGAAAAAATGCTACAACGGGCGGTAGACTGGCCGCAAGGATAAGAGAAAATACTTTTATCCAAGTTTCTAGTTGTCGAAGATATCTAGTATTCTTTAAATTCATGTATAACAGCTCCTGAAAAATTTAAATAGTTTTACAAATTTGAATTACGGGATAATTTAGTCCAAATTGTCTTACCTGCAAAATTATGAGACATATTGTTGAATATACGATATAACTCCAAATGTGTGGAGCTAGATAAGCCGGCCTATCTGTATTGGTATCTTTGTAAAAGAATATGGATGTGATAAAAATAGTTAAAGATGATACGAACATCGCGTAAATAGCTATAATAGCATAAAAGAATGGCAACAACGCCTGCCATTTCAAGTAAAGGAAGCTCTCAAGCAAGGGATGCACAAGAAGTTTCTGTTGGCCGTAACGATTTCCAGTTTTAAGTAAAGATTCAACAACTTTCATCTGTTCCATCTCGCATGCTGTTGGTAATAATATTTTGTAATCCACGGTCACTACGCACTTGGAGTCGTATAAGTTCTGAGAATTAGCTGATATGTATGAATCGAATACCTCTTCTAGGAATTCCGTTGGTTTAGACACATTATTTATTATCATATCTATAGCTGTTCTTTTAAATTTTGGCGCTGCAGTGTATTCTGATAAGTCTGCCCCTTCTTGTAGAAGCAGTGATATAACGTCTCTGCTTCCGTGATGGCCCGCTGAATGTAAGGGATACCAACCTAAGCTATTAACTTCTAATATCGTTGTTTTATCACAATTTAATATAACTTTCGCACATTCCACATAATTTCTTATAGCGGCCAAATGTAAAGGTGTTGCGGATTTGTGAGGGCTTGGTGTAGTTCGTAATCTAATATCAGCGTCTTGGGAGATGAGATATTCTAAGCATTTGACATTATTGTTTAATACCGCAAAATGTATAGGTCCTATTCCTCTCCTATCTGGAGTGGTGAGTGAATTTATAAATTGTTTTATAACACCATCGCCGTATTCCATAAGAAATTCTAAGATTTTTAAATGGCCATATTCAGCGGCTACATGTAAAACGTTAACATCTCCAGGCATAAGCATATTTATAGATGCCCCTTTATCTAGTATAGTTTCAACGCAATTTAAATGTCCATTTATAATGGCTTTGAAAAGTGGCGTCTCACCTTCCTCGTTCTGGCAATCTATTAATCCGTTTTGGTATGTCAGTAGAATTATTTCATCTAATACATCTGTATTTCCCAATGCTGCTGCTAAATGTATGGCAGTTTCACCATCGTTTGCCTGAAATATTAAAATCAGATAATAGAATTTACTAGAAAATAATGAATAAGTTTTATTTTTAGCGTGACATGTTTATAGATCATAACATGATATTCTATATTTAGATTTCTTTCTTTTTGATATTTTTGACTCTCCAGTTTATTCTCGGGCTTTTGATAACGGTCTTTATAAGGAATCAATAATTAAAATGAAACTAATAGTTTTCAACCAATGAGATATCATCTGCCCATGACCATGGTTGTTGAATAGTGACCGAAACGCCAGGAAATATAATCGGCATAGTATAGTCCGACAACTATTAGTTTCATTTCAATGAATACTCGTGAAAGTCTTAGATCTCATTATGGAGTATTTGCGTCGAGATAAATCTTGTAATACTCACTGTTATAGTGACATCCGCACCAGCTTCTAATACAATACAAACGCCAGGGACCCAAGCTGTTTTGACAGCAGCATGTAATACTGTATACCCATCTTTATCTTTGACATCCACCATAGAGGACAACGGATCTGCGTCTTTGTAATTATAGTTTGCTAATATCTGTAATATAAATGGACAATGGACATTATTACTAATATTATTATAGGTAACGTATTACGTACGCGCTACATATGAAGATTAAAATGAACATCGCCGAGGCGATATCTTTGTATAGGTAAAATATCGTATAACGAGTGACGCCGCTGACTCCGCGGAGCCAACACCAAGTCGTGTAAACCAGAAGATTCCATATACCACACAAGCAATAGAATGCCATTGTCATCCTAACATCGGGGCAATCATGTAGTCTTAGGTTATAAGTTTTAATATGTAATTCTTATTTTAATATACATATAAGTAAGTTCCGTAATTTTCCTGGAACCTCCGGTTGCCACTCAATATGATTAACGTAATAACGAGTTACTTTGTAAATAAACTTGTAAAATTCGGAAACATTTTTTGATAATCCGTTCGTGAGTTACATGAAATTTTGCAATGTTTTCGATCGACTGCTATCTTGTTTACAGTACAACAATAAACAAAAAAATAAAGTATAGTAAGATTTAAAAGTCAGTATTAATTAAAATATATAAAAGCATGTCTAATGGCAATTATTTTTTATCACCTTTAACGCTTCGTCCATTTTCTTGTCAACGCATACGTGTAGAGGTGTTTTTCCTTCTGAATTAAGACATGACACAGATATTCCTGCTTCCAATAGTTCTAGAATACATTCTACATTATTAAGTTCCACTGCAGTGTGTATCGGACTGTCTACGTTCATGCCACCAGCTTTCATGCTGTTAAACTGGCTGCCAGCTTTCAGCAGCATCCTTACTACCTCTGTAAAACTGATATATTGATCTTACGTTACTTTAGAAATATTATTTCATCACAGATTAAAACATAAACCTAAATATTGTACGTATAATAAATGATTTATCTAATCGATCTTGTTTCAATTTAAATTTATACTACGGACGAATCTTATGATATCATCGTCATCATCATCAGCCTATCAAAGCCCACTGCTGAGAAAAGGCCTCTTCTTAATCATCACGCTTGCTCAAGTCGTGTTAGTGATTTCAAACTTATAATTTGAAATTACAAGTCCAGGTTTCCTCATGATGTTTTTCTTCACCGTCTGTCAGTGGTGTCTAAATACTCTTATGTACTTTACATATGACTCGGAAAAATCACATTTGTACTTGCACGGTTTTAAACCCGAGTCCTTATTTATAGGAGGCGGACCTTTAACCACTAGGCCAACAGGATAATATGATAGAAAGAAGCCATATTGTATATTAACAAAAAAAAGTAATTGTTAGTGCAAATTTAATGTCAAACCTTTTCTGATTGATCTCTTTATTGTAATAATATGCTGAACCAGCAACGTCTAGTGGTGTGCGTCCCATGACATCACAAATATTAGGGTTCGCGCCGGCTGCTAAAAGAAATCTGGTGCAGTGATGACGAGCCCTGGATGCTGCCACATGGAGAGGAGTCCATCCAGGTTGGAGTAAAGGCAACTGATAGGAAATAACGAACAAATATGTAAAAAAAATCCAACATGCGTTACCATTAATGAGATTTAAGACTTTCGCGAGTTTTACTCATTTAATGAAACTAAAATTTTCGGATATATAACGCGTGCTTTATTTTTTTTAAACTACATACTTCCGACGTTTCGGTTACTTTTTAGGAACCGTGATCACAGGCAGAGGAGATGCAGTTTATTACAAAAATAAAGCACGCGTAGTATTGGAAAAATTTTGGTTTCATTTAGAGGCGTTACAATTTTCAATAGATGTACATTTACTTGAATTGAACGATGTATTTTGGTTTTATTTTCTGGCTTTTTTTCTTAAGAAGCTTTAATGTTTAAAATTATTCTGTTATAGATATAAAATATAAAAAATCTTGCATTTACTAGAATTAATTTTAATGTTTCCCGTAACTTTAAGTCCAAGCATATTCGAGAATACAAAAAAATATGTACGTCACTGACTTCGATAATATATGTATGTATGTATTAGCGAAGTGGAAATATTTACCTAATAATTATCTAATGCCTTAATTGTAATGTTATGTTGTTGCTATCATTGACGTAATTATTTATTTAACAAGGGAAATGTAAGGCTTGAAATGCGGCTGCCGTTATATGGATATAACACGGATAATATGTTATTAATTACTTGTGATTTCATGGGAAACACGTTACATCTGCCTTTACTTAGTGCCAGTTATCTATGAGAAAATCACTTATCTCTGATGTAATGAATTAAGTTTTTTATTTATTGTTATATGTACATTACAAATACTATTTATTATATTAAATTTATATAGTATCTTCTTCTGAAAAGAAATTGTTTAATATATAGTACTTTTAATTTGTATTATTTTCACGATTTCTTTTATGTTTACGCTCACCAAATACGTTATGTATATTTTGTATATTTTAGTCTTCCTTGTTGATTGTCTGGAAGAGATCGCTCTTTAACGATAAGGCCGCCAAGATTATATATTTTCATCTACCATAATTCTTATACTTGTTAATTTAAGGTTGTAAAAAAAATATTATTATTATTACTCGTAAAATCACAATAGCAATGAGCTCAAATTATTTTTTTTTGTATATAATATTTATTAATTATAAGGCCTCGGCTTCGAATTTTGCGGGCAGCGGAGCGGGAGCGGGAGCGGCAGGATCTTACGCGTATAATCAAATGGACCGACCCTCGAATACAGCGGTGCCCGCTGCCCGCTAGTTTGGAGAAATGTATGCGTTTTCGTGCCGCCGCCGCTGCCGCTCCGCTGCCCGCAAAATTCGAGGCCGAGGCCTTAAAGTTTGGCTTCATTCTCACTGGAATCGTGAAAAATTTTGCCGATGTCAAAGTTTTTATTTGTTGGACGATTTATAATCTTGAGTACTGTGTGGAGGAAACACGAAGGAGTTTGTCGAATGTAATAAAGACATTTATTTAAATATTCTTGATATATTTTTAAAGGATAATTTACTCAGTATATATAATCTAAAAAAGGCTGTAAGTGACGTTTGTAATGACAGTGTATATTATGTTTTATTATTATTGACAGTAGTTTGAGCTGAATGCTTAGATTAACGTCTAAATAAATAAAAAAAATCACACAAGCGAGATTCGAATCAGCGATTGCTAGACAGTTAAAAAAGTAAAATGAACATGCGTTATCCAAATATAATTGAAAATTATTCCTTCCCTGATACCTTAATTTACGAATGTCTATGGATGAAAAAATTAATATTCTTTTACTCTCTGTTGTCTATGGAAACATGTGGTAAAGTTATTAGAATATTGCTTTTAGTTTGATTAATATGTTCTAGTATTGTGTTATTCGTACTCACAGTGCCCTTTATGTCCATACACACATGGTCTATATTGTCCTTCCATGATTTAGGCAGCGAAACCTCTATCTCTCCAAGATCTGATCTCACATTTACGATCTCCTGAGCTTTCTGCCTCATATCGAAAGACAATTCAAACTGATTCTTGATGCCGTCGAAAGTCGATGAATTGTCGTTATCAATTAATTGCTGCATCTCTGAAATAGTAGTGATATAAAAAGATACAAAGATTGTAGATGAAAACATAGGTTGAAATGAGACCATCGTAGGAAAACTAACTATTTTGCTTAATGCTGTTCTGTCTTATAAAATAAACGTTCGATTTAAATGGACACCTCACGTAAATAATCATTTAAAAGGTATTGTATTTAAGAACAATCACATTTCTCGCTTCTGGATAAAGAAAATATTTTTTATATTCATCGCATTAGTATATGAGAGATCTGTTTCCACGTTCAAGATATTATTGAGTCTTATTCTGAAATTTTGTATATTTAAACAATACTTTAATTTCTGAAAATGTTTTTTAAACTGTTATACTATAAAACTTAAGAGTTAAATAAGACTGAACAACAAAAAATTTAATGTACATGTGTTTATATATTAGGGTGAGTAATTAATTTTTTTTTATATAATCAAAAACGATTAATTTGGACATTTTTTAAGTTTTTATGCAAAGAAGTAAATAGTGCCTGGCTGAATGTCACCGGCTTTGTGTTTTTAAAATATTCTGAAGAGAATTTTGACGCGAATTTTAATAAGGTTGTTTTATGATCTTCTGTAAAGGCTTTTAGTCCTTAATCATGGAAATAGCCCAGAATTTTATGGTAAGAAGTGCCTTGAGGTTAAGTACCGTAAATTTTAAATTGTAAACGTTATTGTCTGCTGAAATTTCTTACTCGCCACTTAAGTCGAGTGACGTAGCTGCAGATTTGTTTACAGTCGTATAAGGAAACGTAGTTTAAATTTATGTAAATAATGTTTTAAATATGTTTAATTTTGTTTGAATATATTTTCTAGGGTACACTAGCTAGAAATACGATGACACGGATCAATGAAAATGGAAATGTTGTTGGGACTATAATTGTGAATTGTGAAGGTATGGCTATGTATTTTATATTTATTTAATTAGTATATACGATATTAATTTATATCATTTAGTTGGCTAGATTAAATGAGGAATGGTTAATAACATTTCGTTTTAAGCACAAAACTGCTCAGAGTTCAAAATTGCAGATTTAAGCTAAAACTATTTTATCAAAGGGAGCTCTGAAATAATTGCGTTAGTGAATCCTTTCCTACTGAGGGATGTTGATTGCAAGAAGTAAGGCGCTCGAATTGAGAAGCTCGAATTGAAATTGCAATTGTAGATTTGATATACTGTTTTATCTTTGTTTTATTATATTGCTATGAAGTTAGTGGAATCTAAATAGTGTTTTTATAACATAAATTAATAAATACTTGAGTAACTAGAGTTCCTTTAATACATTAATATACTAACTTAAATAAGTAAGACATAAACTTAAAAAGCCGAACATTTGATTTGGGTTTTTTAATTTAAAAAGTTTTAACCTTTACTTTCCTTTGGGTAGAGAAGAGTTTTTCGAAGTGTCTTAAGTTTGCTGATATTATTATTAGAAGATTAATATCTTGAAATATGAAGTTCCATAAAATACTTTGTCGACTTATTTGTATTTTTCCATCGTTTGATGATAATAAACAATAACAAGAATAATAAATAGGGCAAGAGTCTACAGACTGAGGGAACGAAAATGTTATTGCTAGATTCATTGCACGAGGTCAGATTTATGGTTAAAAAAATCGTATAATGAATAATAGTTGATAGAAAATCATAATCATTTTATTCTTATATAACTATAGTAATTTACCAATTATTTATAAATCAGATTTCTCTTCGACCGTATAAAAATTGTATGTAAAAGTTGTACAAGAAGATAACATTTTAATCTGAGAAGACGTTTAAAATCTATAAATCTAGTCTTAAAACGTCTCAAGAGAAATTACGAACGCACTTAAAAGCCATTGTTGTATGAAGTTGCGCTGAAGTAATTTGTTTCTGTAGAAGAACTACAGTAAAATGTGATGCTTTATCACTGAGATATTTTTCATCTATGCGAATGTGAATTTGTTTATTCCGAGCATCATTTGTAACATGTCTTAGTAGCTATTTAGTTAATTATTATCATTCTTTTTGCTTGATATGATTGGTTTATGGTAGTGGAGTGTAGGCTAATTGATTTTTGTTAGTACAGTTTAGTTTTTGTATTATTTTGTATGATCTTTTAAATTCTTGGGTGATTAAACACTAATGTACTACTAGTAGTAGTTTATCACTCGTAGTAGTAATTTACTGTCAAAATTTGACTCCTATACGAGTTTACTATATACGCACGAGTGAAGTATTCAAGTTGGGTGATCAGAATGTTATCTTCAGTGAACATATTGATATTATACGTCCAATTATTCATTAAGATCAGTTGTGGGTAGGTAATACAATGGATTAGAAAGACAGTTTCCTGAAAAGTCGTAAGGCTCGATAACGAGCGCCTCTCCTATGCTCATGATGATTGATGCTTTTATTGTCATATGAATCTTTTGCGAATTTAATTTTAGACTCTCAACATGCGAACTTTATGAATTACGATTCACCGAATAGGCTACCGTATTGAGACATTTCTTGTTTAGACATAAGTGTAAATGATTAGAATGTTTCAATTATATCAATGAATGCAAGTCTTTATAGAAGCTTTTATTATGATTTTTTTAACACAGGTTTCCCAGAAACCACTACATTGGACAGTTTGACGGCTGCTACCTATTCAACTCACATGCGAAATCTGTCACACCATGCTTCTAACGCTTTGAAGGAAATTGTGAGTTATAATGATAAGAAATTTAAATGAAACTAATTTTTGAATTACTACTAATGTCTCCATTCATTTTATCATCTTGTCTGCCGGTCATGGTTGCTGCAAAGAAAGCAAAACGTCGGAAGTACTTATGTAGTTTTTAAAAATAAGAAAATACGCGTAGTAATTCGAAAATATTACTTTCATTTTAATGAATACTAATAAAACTCTGAGGTCTCTTATAAGAAATTTAATTCTAACATGCATATTTATAACAGTGACATGATTTTACATAGAGGAAAAACAGGTTGTATCAAACTTTTTCATTCAAAACCAACCAGGGAATAAAAGTGGAGCAATAGTTTGGAACTGTTGGGAGTTATGTTGATAATGGAAGTTTGTGCTAGACTAATAATTTTCGTGGTTGCAATTACTTTCTGGAATGTTAATGTTACCTTCTGAAATATAAAAGTAGTTTTAATCTAAAAAGAATGAGTACATATTTCAGCAATTTTGTAAATGTTCAGGTCTAGTTGGTAGAGGGGCATTCAATATAGTTTGATGTTTTGAGATAATTTCAAAAATACGTACAGCATTAACTTTTCAGTGAGGTTTAATACGAATTTTATGATTCTGAGATATATCAAACGATATTATTTTGAGGTTCCACGTAGAATAGTTACTCGCAAAATAGGGAAATAATTGTGCCTATATACATAGGATGTAACAGACGAGCTGGTGGTTCTGAGATTGGTATCGAGGAAATCTGAGGCTGTAGTGGCTCCGGACCATGAGTTCACCCTCATCGTGGTGATGAGAAGGTCTTGAAGAGATTGCGAATGTTAATTTCTATTTGATTTCATTGTACATTTATCTCTAGACTTTTGTATGACAATAAACTTTTGGCATAAAACTTCTGGCTTTATTTAAATATTTCGTTTTATAATCGTTTTAGTATACTCATTCTACAATTGAATTATGTTAATTAAACGTTAAAATAGTATATAATTTAAGAACTAGAACAGAAAATAGTACGAATTTGATCTTGAAGTGCTTGGATTTATATTGCAGTATGGTTTGTATTAGAGCTTATTTTTCAATTCACAATTTATCAGAATTTCCAGCATTTTAGAGGCTGATCTAGCACACATTAAAATGATCTAGCACGCAAAAAGTGTTACGAGTTCGAAATTTGTCTGTGCGTGTGTGTCTGATTATCATTAATGAGTGTCTGTCTGTATGTGGCACCGTAGATCTTAAAAGAACCCACCACTTTCGATGGGTTTGGAAACCCGTTTCATTGCTATGCTGTTGGGCTGTGTGATAAAAATCTCTTTTCTAAAATGACATATCATTCATTCAGACAGGCATTCTTAGCCTAACATGTGTAACATTACTCTTTTTTTTTAATAATTTTGTACTGTTTACTAAACTGTTAAACCAACATACTAAACTGTTAGATACCCCTTACTTCTTAGTTTCTGTTGTGTTGTAGTTCTATTTCTCAAAATAAAAATATCATTTCATTGACTAACCTTCTGGTAGATCCAAGAGTATAGCCATTTGTCTAGCATTGCCAGTGAATGCGGCTAGATGGAGCGGTGTTCTTCCCAATCTATCCTGACGGTGTCTTTCTGCACCATGTTTTAGAAGTAAGTCCAGAAAATCTCCTGCTTCCATGGCCGCCAAATGAATTGCTGATACATAATCCAGTCGACAAGTTGCATTAGGATTCGCTCCTTCCTTGAGAAGCCTGTTGGAAAAAAATATGATTAATTTTAAGGATCCGGAAAAAGATGTTAATTGTCATTTTTAGTAGCTATTGATGGTAAATAACTCTTGAGGTAATCAGGAGAGTGCTATAATGTTAAACAACACATGACGTCATGTCACAAAAGTAGAAAGAATTTTTGAAAGTAAACATTTTTTTAATGGAAAAAAATAATAAATTTGTAGTAAAAGTTAGAGATTTAAAATACATAGTAAAATGGATAAAAATAGAATATAAATTGCATCAAAAATAAATTGACTTTGTACGTAGCATTTTTTATACGTAAGAATGTATGGAGTTGTACTTTTCAACTTTGGATGTTGCATTTTTTAAGTAAGAATATGTGTATGGACTTATACTTTTCAACTTCTTCGACATCGTAGTTTCTTATAGCGTCAAGCAGTTCTGTATTCAGGCGTCGCAGCCTTCTGTCACTTCGGAAGAATTTCTTCGGTAATCCTGATGTGTCCAATCCTGGAGTATGATCCGGGGTCGATAGAACTGATGATATGTCCAGGGTCAGCTTTTTGGCTGGTGGAGTTGGCGGTGGGCTGTTGGCATTTATAAAATAATTTTCTTCATAATATAAATTATATATGTGTGGTAGGAAGATATACGGAAGCTATTCTACTATGTGGAGTTTTGTAATATGAAAGATATCTTTACTACTTATTAATAGGTAGCTAACGTATTGGCCTTGAAATACCTTGATATATTATGCATAAATAATGATTTTAAAATTATACCATATCAAAACACATTTTCGTATTTAACAAAACAACAAACATTGAATAATATTTTAAAGGGTTACCTTTAAATTTTATTAAAGATTTAGAAGTTATTATTAGCTCTGTTTTATGTAAGTGTATTTGTTACGAAGATAAAAACAGAACTTGTTTTAAATGTAGCATTAATAAATCTAGCAAGTGATTATAAAGGATTCTTTGAATCAGATCTTAATTGTATAATAATTAAATTTACCTTCAAATAATAATTTATATGGTAACTCACGGTGGCATACTATTGGACGTTGGTTTCCGAGGCCTGGGAGGTCTTTGTCGTCCTTCGTAACTGGCTGGCCTGGTTCTGTCATTGGCCAGCAGTGGAGCCGATTTCTCCTCCTCACTGTGATAGCCTTTCTCGACATCTAAAATTGTTATACAATTGTCTCTTTGGATTAATATATTCTATTCATATTTTTCTATGAAGATTACGTCCTAATAACTGGTTTGACTATATAAATGATTGTAACGCCATTAAAATGGATCACTGTGATAATGAAAATTAGAGAAAAACTGCTTCTAGATGAAGTTGTTTAACTGTGTTTAGTAAAATCCTAGTATAAACATAATTACATAATTGATGTTATAAAAATAAATGCTGAATTAAAATATTAATTACACATATATAGAATACAAAAATTATCGCTTCCAATTCCCAAGGTTATTTTATCGAGAAAATTTATTAATTAAACATATGTATTTAAGAATGCAGTGCTGTGACTCACAGAAATTTCAAGAGTGAATTCAAAATCGACTAATAAATTCGTGCTGTTTGAATACAAATAGAATATTATATTTCCACAAAAGACATTATACGAAATTATTAAACATACATATATGAGTGCCACTTAATATAGAATTTATATTATTTGTATAAGCTGCTTTTACTATATTTTTGCACAATTCGAAGTTATTCGTAGTATTGGAATGAATTTAAGACTTGAATAATACTCTCTTGTTTTTATATACAAGACTTTGAATGGTAAGCACGTATTAAAACTCTGCTTATATTAAGTAAATTATATAAAATGTCACATACTTTTTTGTAGATTAAATGTATACAAGAGATCGACTAACGAAACTTTGGAATATTCAAGTTTTGTTGCTTTTATTCCATCGATGTTGTCGAGTTATGAATAAAAGAAACTGGTTATTTTGTTTAAAACCGTTGTTTACATGTTAATAGTAAGTCATAACTGTGAATATAAAAAAATAAAGTTTTAATGTTAGAATCAATAATAATGTTCTAAGATTCCAATGTTTTATTTCGTATCAAATTTAATAACAGAACAAACATCGTGAACAATAAGAGGTTGCATTATCCTTACTACACTTTACCACTAACGTTAACACCAGAAGTAAGATTTTTCCATTCATAAATAATCAAATTAATTTCGAATACTAGCATAGTTAATGAACTTTGAATATGTAAACAATTTATAATTTTTTACCAAGGTTACATGGTTACAGGTTGATGTTAGAGAACATGTGATTGTTTTGTTTGAAGCGAGTATATGATAGACGTTAATAGGTACTATAGAATTTTATTGACTATACAATGTTATTAATATATATTACTAGCTCACCCGGCGAACTTCGTACCGCCTTATAATCAAGAAATATCTGTTACTCACACTACAAATTATCCTGTAGAAACCAATGTGAAAAGTACACTAAGAAATGATAAATGAATTATGTAAGTATTTTGTTATTATAACTCCGGCCACAGACCAAGTCTGACCGATATATTTGCAAAGAGCATGTAAATTTCTTTTAATTTTTTTACTTGTTTTAATGGCAACTACGTGAATATTACTGCCAGACACATTATTTTATTAAAAAAGTGAAATATTTTTGTAGTATTTTTTTTCGAGTGTTTTTCGTAATTTTTTCTTACATAAGAACCTTCTCCTAATAATAACAAATACAATAAAAAAAGAATTAGTAAAATCGGTCGAGCCATTTACTTGTGATGCCGTGACCAAAGAAAAAAGGAATTCATTTTTATATATATACATAATATATATTTCCATTTAAATTATTCAATAATTTTATGTGGAAATGAAAAAATACAGAAGAAAATCATAGAAAATGATCTCGTTTCAATAGTACCTAGAACATTGTTTTCTTCCATAAATGTTATTTACAATATTGAATTTAATTTCGAATAAAATAAGATTATTATTTATTATTGTGATCGAATTACCTTTAACCAGAAACGAAGCGAACGTTTTACTTTTGTTCCACATTTGTTAATTGTTCAATTCATCTTATGATCTCACATTTCGGTGGCTGAACGTTATTTTTTTTAGATTATCATACACTTTCGATGAGATTTCATCAAAACCGACATGGGACTGAGTCGGTAGTAATCGCGTGACTAAATCAAAGATAAACTTTACCTAATGTTTGCACAGTCAACGAAGGTCACTTGATGCGCGGGCGCATACTACAAAAATATATTATAGAAAAACGCGAACATTATCAGTTTGGAAATAAGGATTTCGTCATAATAGTTTACAACACTATACGCAATACAAATTTCGTCTGTCAAACCCAGTATTGAAGTCATATAAAATACACATTATTTTATTTAGTCGCAATGCTGTTTTTTTTTACTATATAACCACCGTAGTCTTATCTGAAGACTGCGTTAATTGTAAAGTTTTTTAAAAAATGATAGTTTTTTATTACATTATGTTGCACACTTTTCAATTTTCATAATGTGTAGTACTCTATAATAGACTAAAAGGTGTTAATACTTAAATTGTCCTGTCCATTTGTAACAATTAATTCCCAAAAGTTGGATTTTGTGGTAGTTTATATTAACCCAAAAAGTAGTGCTATAAATATCTTAATATTATGAAGGCTAGCAAAGATCTTTTTTTTTTTTTTTTTTTTTTTTTATGTTAAAGGTGGCAAACGAGCAGACGGCCCACTTGATGGAAGGTGGTTACCGTCGCCCATGGACATCCGCAACAAAGATGTTGCGGATGCGTTGCCAACCTTGTTTTATAGGGATAGGGAGGGGTGGGAATAAGGATATTGTAGATAAGGATATTGTAGGAAAGGGTGGGAATAGGGAAAGGGCCACCGGCTCTCTCACTCATCGGACGAAACGCAGCTATTAAAGGCTACTTCACGCCGATCTTCTGTGAGAGAGTGGTACTTCCCCGGTCGAGCCAGCCCGTGTTCGAGCTGTAGTAACTAACCACAGCTAGGCTCTACCACCTAAAAAATCTTTCTGATATTTTTTAAATAATCATTTGTTTTAACTTTAACTGTCATGATTCTAGTGTTAAAGTAAGATTGAATAGTTTTTAACTACTTATATACTATTAAAGTAATAACATACTGGCAACTAGTAATTACATATATTACTTAACTAAAAATACATTTTCTATATATACACTACCTATATAGTACGTAATTGTAATCTTGGTTATACTATAAGAACAATAATAAAAAGATTTGGATTCAAAGCATATGATTCATAAACTTACATATTCCAATGATTATGCAATTTACATATTTACAATGCATTTATTAACAATTAGTGTTGTTTACATTTGAATTAATGGAATCAGGTAAACAATTTCAATAACATAAAGAAAAATACATGGTACAACATCTTCTTAGCTGCATCAATGTAATAATATGCTAGCAATAATAATTGTAATTTAAACAACACATACCTTTGTGAGGCATTATTGTAAACAACGTCACATATTATGAAACAACAAATAATTGTAACAAATCGTAACACTTATTTCGTGTGCGTTCGTCAAATACAAAAAGTCTATACTTATCATCTTTGTGTCTTAGTAAGCACTGTTACTTTTAGAAATGACATAATATACATACATTTTTATATCAACATTTATATTTTTCTTTATCAAAGAAACTGTAAGGTAGATTTATATTTAAAACTATTGTTCCAAGCTTCCATATTATTTCAATGTCATATTGCTATCTTTATTCAAAAGTAATTTGTACAGTTTCGTAAGGGCCAACCTAACCAAACAACGCGTGGGTACTATGCACATATTTATTTAAACCGTCTGCTGAATAGACGCGGAACTTAATTAATTTTAATCATATCTTCTCATTATATGTATGTGAAAAGCCCTAGTTGGGTTATATATACCGTTTATTATTTTTACGGAAATCTTCCTGTATATTATATGATTTGGTTAGGTAGAGAGAGGAGCTCGGACAGTGGAGGTGAGCGTTTAACGCGCGTTAGATAGGGACCCTTTAAACCTAGACCTGGATCGTAAGTTACAGGCACTGTTGAAGCTTCTCTCCCTGTAACGATGGACCCGGCGCCCGCACGGTGAATACATTGAATGCTAAGAAGTTTCGTCTTTAAATAAAAAGCATGTATGTACGTGAACTCATTTTGGTGTAATTTAACAAAAATATTTAAGTAAAAGGATTTTCAATAAATCTATAACGATTTAGAGTTGTATTTTTAAATTTAAATCTCTCATATTCTGGAGGGTAACAAAAAATATTGTATCAATAATTTTGTTACTTTTATTCCTGTCCTGTCTATTTATTATGAAGTCTGTTGATCCAATCGAAATATTATCGCAAGATAAGAAAACCTACAAAGTCAAGATAGAGGTATTGATAAAAACAATTATTATGATATACATTTTATTTGTGAGGATATACATATGCACCTAAGTATAATTTTGGATTCAGTGGTTTTAGGGAAAGAAGAAATATGTACTTATAATAATATATCATTAAGTAGATGATAATTTAACTTTATAGGAAATAAAAAAAAAATTCTGGTGATTAAAAACCTTTCTGTATTTAGTAACTTTTGAATTTAAAATGTAAACCAAATTAAATTAAATACTTTATTAGCAAAATCCTATTCAAAGATTTTTTTGGAATATTCGTTAGTTTTTTTTTAAATGAAACACATTTTAAGAAACTTTGTGTCTTTTCTTTACTATAGACTATCTGTTAAATATTTGACGATTAGAGATGAGGTTCCGTGTCAGGAATTTGTATCCGTAGTATGAGCTTCCTCTGTCTACCTTAAACTCGCCATATCGGTCGTCTTCTTTGACGAGAAATAAATAGTAATCAGACTAGAAATTCTTCTTCTGCTACCCTCACTATTCATCCACCCACACTTTTCCTAAAAGCGAGACCGATTTAAATATTTTTTTCGTATACATTTGGGTGGCACTCCAAATTGTTCAGATTCACAAATTAGCTCAGCAGATGGCGTTGCAGTCGGTATCTATGTTATTTAAAATGAAGAGGCCTCAACGTATATTTCTATATTAATTTTTTGATCGCAACTCTCATGTTTATGCGGACGGAGCCACAGGCAAAAACAAGTACTAGTATATATATTTTTCTATATAAGCAACACCAGTTAGCTTGAGTGTGTCAGTATTTTAGACGAGAGAGAAAATGTGATACGTGATTTGGTTACCTTGAAGTGAATTACCAAGTGTTCTCATGGTCATATACAAAATATTTTATTACAGTACGTGTCCTTCTAGAATAATATATCAATCGTGATTTGGGACAATGGTAGACACTAAGATTATAAAAATAAAACGCAGTATATATATATATCGTAGAACTGGATTATTTGTAATGATATTATTATGTAATTAAAAGACACAAATAATCTGTATCGTATTTAATTATTTTTCCCCCTCTATAAATGTTTTATTTCCTATATTGCGATCTTTCTTTCCAAAACAAGCAATTATTAGTTATGATTAAATTTAGTTTAGTAGCCTTTCGTGTATCTGATATCTCCTTTTGTATTTTTACGATATTTTTTTAAAAGTAAAAACAGGTCAAATGTTATAATGAATGAAAATTATTTAGATGTCTCAAAACATTGCATTGAATTTGATACAAACACGGTTCAAAATTTAATTTATATCAAAAATGTTGTATTCAATTTTGTGTTATAAAGTTATGAAATTAAATCTTTAGTTCACAAATAATTTAAAAAAGTTTGGATATATTATCATGAATGTTAAACTTTACATTGATCTACTTTCGCGACTAGTCAAGTTAATCATTACCATTCGTTGGTATGTGGAAACTTTGTTAAGTGGTTATCTATCTCAGTAACAGGCTATTGAACTGTTCTTGAGGTCGCAAAATTATAACTCTGGTCGTCCTATGACAAAAGTCTGCAAATCATGGGCATTTTCTCCGATATAATATTGAGAATCTGGTTATTTCTTTGCTCAAAGTCAACCAGATTGGTTTTAACCATGATGGCCATATACTCGTAAGTGTATGGTTGAACTGATGTTCCTAATAAAAACTAGTGTGGATGGTTATGAACGAATACTGATGAAGAATAAATATGTTCAGAAGGAAAAAAATTGGTATATTAAGAATAAGTCAGTGGTGGCCTAGTGGTTACAGGGTCCGCCTCTCGTTGCCGAGGGCGTGGGTTAAAACCTGGCAAGTACCAATGTGATTTTTCGGAGTCATATGTACTTTCTGAGAGTATTTAGACACCACTGACATACGGTGAAGAAAAACATCGTGAGGAAACCTGGACTTATAGTTTCACAATTATAAGTTTGAATTCACCAACCCGTCTTGAGCAAGCGTGGTGATTAATGCTCAAACTTTCTCCATGTGAGAAAGAGGTGTTGCTCAGCAGTGGGCGCTGGTAGGCTGATGACGATATTAAGAATTAGTTTTTGTGAATTTTATTGTTGCTACAATGTTTATATATACATATAATATGTAACCTTATTACGTTGACGTTCATAAGCAAATTTTCTTTCACTATTTACGTATTAAACTGAAAATTTAAACTTAAAATAAACGTAAGAAAAATAAAGGTTATTTTATCTGCGGTGTTGGTGCTTTTTGGAATAATATTATTATTTTATTTGAAGTTTTAGAGACTTATAAAAATGCATGATAGCAATATAGCATACTACGGGCATATGTATGTATAAAATATCTTTGAATTTCAAATTTACATAACTTACTAAGAGTATTGATGAAGGTAAAAATTTTAATAATATTTTTCATAATAATATATACGCGCTTGTTTCAAAATTAAGTTCGATTAGTCTACATTTCATTCTTTATGTAACAAAGGTCCCTAAACATAGGTTCTATTGCTATTGATTGGTTCCGTTCTTACCTATTCAATCGACAGCAATGCATAACGGCAAACAGTAGGTCCTCACCTTTCTTAGATATCCCTTCTGGTGTACCGCAAGGTGGTGTACTCTCTCCTCTTCTCTTTTCTATTTTCATTAATACTCTCTCTACACTTATCTCTTCCTCCTATCATCTATATGCTGATGATCTTCAAATATATGTTACCGCTCCCTTGGACGGTATCGATGAGGCTGTTGCAAGTTTAAATAATGATTTGGCAAAGATCAGTGAATGGTGTAGATCTTACGGACTCCAACTGAATCCAAGGAAGTCACAAGTGGCTGTTTTTGGCAGTCCTAAGCTTCTGTCGAGGGTCAAAGACAAAATCCTATCTCCAATCATGCTTGATGGCCACGCACTACCGCTGCAAGAGACTGTCAAAAATCTTGGACTACTTCTGGATGCTTCCTTATCCTGGGTACCTCAGGTTGCAGAAATGAGTCGTAAGATGTATGCCATCATTGGTTTTTTAAGGCGATGGAAAAATTTACTACCCATCAAGGCTAAGATCAGCTTAGCCAATGCATTTCTTTTTCCAGTATTAGATTATGCCGACGCCTGCTACATTGATTTAACTGAAGACCTTCTGAATAAATTAGAACGGCTGCAAAATTTGGCCATTAGATTCATATTTGGCCTTTTTTTTTTTTTTTTTTTTTTTTGTGCGCACTGGGAAAAAATGCTTTACGCATCCCCTCTCCGTTGAAGACGGAGAGGGGTATGTGGGACTCCCCGGGAAAAGGATTCCCGGTATACCCACTAAAATAACCCAGTGGCGCTCCGACCTCGCCTGACTGGCAGGGGGCTGGGAATCCTGTTTGCGTCCAGCCCCCTGCTGGCGATTGCCCACTTTCTGGCGGACCCCTCACGCCCCCCCAAGATTCATATTTGGCCTGCGTAAGTATGATCACGTATCGCAGTATCGGTCTCAGTTGAAGTGGCTGCCAATCAGGCTTCGAAGAAACTTGCACGCCTTATCTCTTCTCTATGCTATTCTATATGTTGAGCATACACCACCTTATCTTAAAGAACGCTTCAAATTTCTTGGGTTTGATAACACGCACAATCTGCGTTCTAGTGAGGACAACAAACTTGTCACACCCTGCAGCCGGACACAAACTTATGGTAACTCTTTCACTGTGAAAACCGTCAAACTCTGGAATGCACTACCCACTGACATACGGCAGTCTAGATCCTTGGCAATATTTAAGCATCGTTTGAGAAAGTATTACCTATCCATATCTATATAATGTATGCAAGTATGTAATAATATGTAGTTTATATTTATGTATATATGTTTTGATATGTATTATATTTCTATGTATGTATTATTGGGATGTAGTTATGTGTAGTTTATTACTATACCTTAGTATAAATATTATTATATTGTATATTTCCTTATTTTTCTGTATCTTTTTCTTCACTTACCTGTTTTCGTTCTAAGCTCCTATCACCAAAGGTTGTCTGTGAGAGATCGCTGTAAGCGATAAGACCGCCTTTGCGCACCATGTATGTACAGTTTACTT